GGATACATTATCTATTTGCTACATTCTGCCTCTCGTATTCTCACTGATCTAACACAGCCCTGACATTGGCAGCAAGCGCCGCTCAGCAAGCAAGCATCGAAGCAGTCTAAGCACGCAAGGAGCATGGGAAGGCGCTGTCGGATTGTGGCGCTGCATGCGCGCGCCCTTTGTAATTCGAGTAAAGGTGGCAACCAGGCTTTCGTTGCGCAGCCTTGAGTAGGACTTGGCACCCTGGACGGATGATGCCTAGAGCCTCGGAATATCTGCATTGAAGCCTCAGGCGTGTCAAAACGCATGACATGGAACAGGAATATCCTTTGATGCTGTAGTCTTCGCCGGGCTCACCGGGCTGCTCGCACGCAGAGCGAGTCCACGAAAACATCCAGCAAATCAACGAGCCCACCAGAAGGCCTGGATCATCCTGACCTTAGCAGCTTGGTTTGGCTTGCTCTGCGTGGCGGAAAGCAGCTTGTACAGCTGCAATGCGCAGGCTCGCATCGCCCCTTCACCACGTCACCGCCTTGCCTCCGCGCACAACTCTACCTAGCAATAGTCAATGTGGTGCCTTAGTGAACTACGTTGCCGGTTTACCCGGCACAGTACACTCAAACCCACAAGAAACTACAGTACTATCCTTCCCGCACAGCTGGTGATCGTGCATCTCATGGCCTGGGCCTGTGCTCCAATTTGCAGGCGATCTTCTGTCTTCATGTGGGTGCACAAGCGAAAAACAGCAGAGACCTTTTAAAGCCTTGTCTCTTGCCTGGACTACGGGGTCCTGTCCCAGCACTCCCAGCTTAGCATGTTCGGGCACGTGTCACAGCTTAAAACGGAATTGGCTTGTCAGGAAGAAATAGGCCCCAAGAACATGCATGCGGGGTTGACTCCAATGAAAACGGCTGCCATGTGCACCGAAACGCTCCAAAGTTAATACCATCCAGCTAACATCGTCAAATTTGTCGATCAAAATGCAGGAGGAAATCAACAATCGCATGGAACCAGCACTCAGCCTGGGCTATTGAATCCAACATGGCAGCTCATGTGTGCGCATCCCTTAGCAGCACTTTTGGTATCGCTAAGTACCACGGGCTCAGCAGCTACAGCCTCCCGCAAGGCAACTTTCTCATACTGGAACAGAGTGATTGAAGGGAGGCAGGCCTAGACATCCATTCTCGAATCTAAGTCAATCGCTGGACAAACAGCGTTCTATCCCGAGACGTTGTCTCTGTTTGGGCTTCAGAGTGCGCAAGTCCTTCCAAGAATGTTCATGGCACGGCTAACCCGCCATTGTGCGGAAAGCAGGTGTGCTACAAAATTATAGTAACCCCTATAAAGCCCTAGATACCCCTATAAAGCCATTACACGCTAGACTTTGGGCTCTCCACAATGGAGGCGGCAAAGTTTCGCAAGCCGATTGGAGTTTCCCCAGCGCCGAAAACGCACTGCAACATTTGCGCACAGTCTTGCTTCAGTTCTTCTTGCGCTTCCAGGTCGATAAACGGTTGCTGGCGCGTGCCTCAACCCATGTGCTTGAACGCCTTCGAGGCTTTGGCCAAGTTTTGCAATGACCCCGACAACCTCCGCTCTTAGGGCAGGCGGAGGATGGTCCGCCCCAACCTGGGTTGAATCCAGGTTCAAACAACTCGGGCTCGCCTCCGGCAGAGGGCCAGGTTCAGAACCCAGGTTCAACCCAGGCTGGAACCCAGGTTCGAACCTAGGTTTAACCCAGGTTTGAACTCAGGTTTCTTTCCGGGTTCGACTCGGTTCGAACCCAGGTTGCAACCTGGTTCCAGGCGCGAACCTGGGTTCCGAACCTAGGTTCAAACCTAGGTTCAAACCTGGGTTCCGAACCTGGGTTCCGAACCTGGGCTCCAACCCGACTTGTAGTGTAGACCTGGGGTTCGAACCTGGGTTCGAATCTAGGTTCAAACCTGGATTCCGAACCTGAGTTCCAACATGGGTTCCAACCTGGAGTCCAACCTGGGTTCCAACCTGGGTTCCAACCTGGGTTCCAACCTAGATTTACCCCTCTCTTAAAGTCATAAAACCTTCATTAAACCCTCTTTTTTTCTTTGTCGCTTTACGATCTAATAAAGAAGCGGTAAGATTTTCATAATCACCTTTCTCTCAGCTTGAGTTCTAACCAGGGCTCCAATCTGGATTTCAAACCTTGGTTCCAACCTGAATTCATACCTGGGTTCCAACCTGGGTTCAAACCTGGGTCCAACCTGGGTTCCAACCTGGATTCTAATCTGGGTTCCAACCTAGATTCCAACCTGGAGGTTCCAACCTGGAGGTTCCTACCTGGGTTCCAACTCGGGTTCGAACTTGGGTTCGAACCTGGGTTCCAACCTGGGTTCCAACCAAGTTACAAAACGGGTTTAACCCAGGTTCGAACTCAGGTTCAACTCGAGTTCAATCCAAGCCTTCAGGAGGGTCTGGAGAGTGCTAGAAGAGAGAGTGCGGAGCATCAGCAAGCGCCCAGCCGGAGAAGGTGCTTTGAAAAAGTTGTCACTTTTTTTACTTTCCAGCGTGCGCTGAAATCCACCTCCGGAAGCTGAGCCCTGCTTAGAAAGTTGTCACTTTTGTCACTTCGGTTTTGTCACTCGTGTTTTTTGCCCGTTTCAGGGCCTCTAGACGCACCAGAGGCCAGTGACAAAAGTGACAAAAGTGACAGTTTTTCACAAACAGAATTGCGGCTGATTGATTGCCGGGCCCCCGCCGCCGTGGATCAGTGGGCGAGCATATGAGCATCAGTGGGCGCGGATGAGGGGATGAGCATTAGCGGGCAGGCAGATGAGAATCAGCGGGCGCGCGGATGAGGAGATGAGCATTAGCGGGCAGGCAGAGCATCAGCGGGCGCGTGGATGAGAGGATGAGGAGCATTAGCGGGCGAGCATGGGGCGGGTACCGGGAGGGCGGCCTGGTGTGGGGCATCAATGAGCATCCGGGGGGACGCAGTTCCTGGGGCCCGTGCGCGGGCTGCGTGGGCCGGCTGAGCAGCGCCACGGAGCCCCCCGAGCCTCGGCGGGCCATCGGCCGGCGGATGAGCATCAGCGGAGCCGGATGAGCATTATGAGCATAAGCGGACGCGGATGAGCATCACAGAGCGGGCGGACGGATGAGGAGGCTCTTCTGAAAAAGCTGTCACTTTTGTCACTTTCCAGGGTGAGCTGAAATCCACCTTAGGGAGCTGAGCCTTGCTTCCAGAAAGTTGTCACTTTTGTTACTTCGGTTTTGTCACTCGTGTTTTTTGCCCGTTTCAGGGCCTCTGGACGCACCAGAGGCCAGTGACAAAAGTGACAAAAGTGACAGTTTTTCAAAAACAGAGTTGCGGCAGATGAGCATCAGCGGGAGCAGATGAGCATCAGTGGGCGAGCAGATGAGCATCAGGGCGATCAGACGAGCATCAGAGGGTGAGCAGATGAGCATCAGTGGAGCATCATTGCCGGGCCCCCGGAGCTGCCGTAGATCAGCGGGCAAGCATATGAGGATCAGTGGGCGGGCAGATGAGCATCAGCCGAGCATCGGACGAGCCGGCAGTTGCCGGGCCCGCGGAGCCGCCGTGGACCGGCGGGCGAGCAGCGGCGAGCAGATGAGCATCAGCCGGCGAGCGGATGAGCATCAGTGGGGGAGTGGATGAGCATCAGCCGAGCATCGTGGGCCAGATGAGCATCAGCTAACGTGCATCGGCGGTCGGCGTCTTCGGGGCTCCCCGCGGCTGCCGTGCATCAGCGGCCGGGCAGATGAGCATCGGATGAGCATCAGATGAGCATCAGCGGAGCATCAGATGAGCATTGGGATAACTGGCTGCGCATGGCCCGGAGTTCAAAACATCTGGGTTTGAGATGAAAACTGTTTTGCAAAAGTTGTCACTTTTGTCACTTTCCAGGGTGCGCTAAAATCCCTCTGGGAGCTGAGCCCTGCTTCCAGAAAGTTGTCTCCGGGGCCCGGACGACCTGCGCCGGGCCAGCGCGCGCGGATGAGCATCACCGGAGCCCTGCGAGAGCCTCAGCGGGCCATCAGCTGGCCGGCAGATGAGCATCGAGAGAGAGAGTGCAAAAAATCTGGGTCTGAGATGAAAAGTTGTCACTTTTGTCACTTTTTGTGTTGCTCCAAAATCCACGTCTGAGAGCCAAGCATTGATCCTAGTAACGCGTCACTTTTGTCACTTCGGGTTTTGTCACTTTCATTTCTTGCGCGTTTCAGAGACTCTCGTCGCGCGCGGGAAAAGTGACAAAAGTGACGGTTTTTCGAGAGCAGAGGTTGCGGCTGCGGGCGCGCGGATGAGGCGCGCGGACGAGCATCGGCATCGCCCGATGAGCATTAGCGGAGGCTGGAGGTTGAAGCCGGAGGAGGGCAGGGCGGGCGCACTCGCTGAAGAGCATCAGCGGCTGGGCGCATGAGCATCGGCCAGTGGGCAGATGATCACCAGGCGGGTGCATGAGCATCAGCGGACCATCAGCGGCGGGCGCATGAGCATCAGCATGGACGGACAGATGAGCATCAGCGGGTGGGCGGATGATCATTCTGAGCATCCGCGGGCGGGTGGATGAGCATCGGCAGAACAAGTCTGCCAAGTTCGTCAAAAATGCAGTCTTAGGGCCGCTCAGAACTTTACAAGCTTGACTTGAGGAACTTGATGCTCTTGCCAGGCGTCTGACAAACCCCTGGGCGACCTGCAAACGTTCAAACAAAACAAACAGCAGGTTGCAAAGCATTTTTGGAGCTGTTTTGGGGAGGGCAGTGTGCTTTGAGCATCAGTGGGCCGAGCAAGGAATCCAAGGCCCAGNNCCCAGGTGCAGGAACCTCAGCAGAGCACAGCGTCTAAAGCACACGAATGGCAGTCAGGCGCAGCTAGTAAGCGCAGCATGCCCGAGTCTCAACCTCACCTGGTGATGATTCGGTGGCCTGACAGAGCTATGGCTCCAGCTCAGGGAAACTAGCCGCAAGAACTCAATCAACGTCGGGCACCCCCAAGGTCACTCCTTTTCACACAGCTATGCAGATGACTGTGGTGGGCGGTCAACAATCTCGTGGGCTGCTTGCGCATGCAGCTCCGAGGCGAATTGGTACTCCCGCTTCACCATGTGCCAGATCACGGGGTGACAATCTTTCTCACGGATCCACACCGCCACATCTTTCGGAAATGCAGCGGTGCAGAGCTCTTCTGCCCCTTGGCCATTGTTGGCGTCCCTGTTGTCCCGCAGCTTCTTCAGGATATGGTGTCCTGTCGGTCCGTCGACCTTGCATTGGTTCTTGAAGCGCTGGACCTCAACGCGTGCCCTCTCCTCCATCTCCGCCTTCTTGGCCACAAGCGCCTCCTCCCCATCCTTGGCGTAGCGCTCGCAAGCATCGACCAACTCCAAAGCATTGAGGCCACCTGAACATGAGCGCCAAGACAAGCACGGGGCTTGGAGACTGACAGCAAACAACATCAAACAATGCAGCCAAGGGGCATGCGCCAAGGAATTCGTCCTTTTTGTCAGCGTGCCCGTGGTTGGTCAGCAGTTTCCCGGCGTCCTCCTCGGTTAAGTCGCCCACCCAAATGCTTCGTTGGCGTGAGCTGCCACCAGCGTCGAAGGCCATGGCCATGGCCGCCGAGGAGGCGCAGACGATCACCTCGGCAGGACAACTTGCAAAGACCCTACCGCAGCCCAGCAAGACACGGCGGCTGAGTCTTCGGGTCCTGGCATGCGCCAGCGACCCTTCCGACGAGAAAGTCTTGGCGAAGCTGGAGATTGAGTCCATGCCTTGGAATCCAGCCAAAGAAACAGTAGGAAAAGAGAAACGCTCCGAATGCCTCAAAGCCCCCCGCCTTCCTTGGTCGATCGCGGGATGTCGAGCACCAGGACGGGCGGCTTGTTGAGCTTCTGTCGGATTTTTTCGAGGACCTTCCTGAACATCTCCTCGTCGTCCAAGCCCAGCACTGCATAGAGCTCCTTCTTCCAACCGCTGCCCTCCACGGTGTGGACGTAGACGCCCTGCATGTTGCGGAGCGCCTCTTCCAGCGCCACGGTCTTGCCGCAGCCGAAGCGCCCCGCAATGATCGTCGCATGCTGACTCCAACCCATGATTCGCTCCTGGATGTACTTGATGATGTCGCGCTGCACCACATTCTCCTCCTTGGTCTTTGGGAGAAAGGGCTGCAGCATACGGTCCACCGCCGCTTGGATACGGCCTTCTTTGGACTTTTGTTGGGCTCTCTCAGCCTCCCGTTGGGCTCTCTCGGAGTCCCGTCATGCAATCCGAACTTGGACACAGGCGATGACCGCAGCCGCTGCCGCCACCACGGCAGCAAACAGGTTGACCAGCAAGTCCTTGGATTGGACCGGCCACCTGGCAATGTCAAGACCCTGGTGCTCCGCTACAGGCTTCTCGTGGCCGCGCCATCCTGCCAGTGCGGCCTGCAGGAAGCATGACTACGTACACCCAACAATGTCCATCATGAAGACTGCCCAGCCTGAGGTGGAAACAAAGTCGTGGCCGCGAGAGCCAGCAAGAGCTTCCCAAGTGTACGTTTCACAGCCATGGCTACCGAGACAAACCTAGAAGATCGCTCATGCAGCCACGCTGCGCTGTTCAAGAGCCATGATCGCAATCGACACTGCCAGCATGAGCTTGTTGTGCGTCAACATGAGTTAAACATCAGTGCCGAATGTCACATGAGCCCCATGCCTCCGCTGCATGGCGCTGCAAGGGAAGCCATGACCTCCGGGGCGCAGAATTGCAGGTTGCAGCGTGACCCTGAACTCTCTCCCCAGTGCCATCATGCGATGCGGGACCCGAGTGCCAGGCCAGGGCGGGGGAAACTTCTGATTCACCTCCAGGCCTCGCGGTGAAACTGCAAGCGCCCCATGCTCGAAAAAAAAATGTTCACTTCTCTTGGCTTCACGGTGCAAGGGCGGCAACACCTCTGCTCCCAAAGTCACTTCCCACCGTCGTACTGAGTGCCAGCACTCCACTTCAAAAACAAATCACTTTTGCCACCCTCCAGGCTTGTGGTGAAGTTGCCCCAACAACCAGAAGTTTGTCCCTTC